GGGAACCCTAAACCCGAAGCCCTAAAGCCACAACCCCTAAACCCTAAACCAACCCTTTAAGGAACCCTAAACCCAAAGCCCTAAAGCCCCAAACCCTAAACCCTAAACCGTAAAGCCCTAAAGCCCTAAACCCCTAAACCCTAAAGCCCTAAAGCCCCAAATCCTAAACCGCCCTCTAAAGCCTTCCCTGCACTGATGAACCATCAGACTCCTTCCGGTCCCTTCTCAAAAGGGTTTAGGGTTCAGGGTTTAGGGTTCAGGGTTCAGGGTTCAGGGTTTAGGGTTCAGGGTTTAGGGTTCAGGTTATCTGCCAAGTCTTTCGGGTATGAGCTTTAGAGCTTTAGGTTTTAGGGGTGTAGGTGCCTGGGGTTTAGGTTATAGGGGTTAAGATTTTTGGGGTTTGGGTTTTAGGGGTTTGGATTTTAGGGTATTAGGGTTTAGGGGTTTAGGTTTTAGGGGTTTATGTTTTTTGGGGGTGAAGGCTTTAGGCCGGTAATGTTTTGTAGGGGTTAAGGCTTGAGGGGTTTGGGTTTTAGGGGTTTGGATTTTAGGGTTTAGGGATTTAGGCTTTAGGGGTTTATGTTTTTTGGGTTTTGGGGTTTAGTTTTTAGGGGTTAAGGCTTGAGGGGTTTGGTGTTTAGGGAGGTTTGCTGGTCGTGTAGTCTTCGGGTAGTGATTCCTTTTCAGCAGATCTGCTTGCCCGCTCGTTTAGGGGGTGAAAACTGGGTCAAGACTCTTCAAGTCTCGTATCCCCCTCATTCACAGGCACAAGCACCGGCTGAGTGGTACCCTGAAGACAATACCTAGAGTCTCCATTGTAGTTCCTGTTTTTGGTTTAATACCCAATTATATATTTAGGATCCTATAAGGTAACCCCAAAAAGGAACTACAGTGGCGATTATCGGGTAGTTCATGACGTCTAACTTGCTGTATGTTGCAAACACCGAGGAAAGCTCTCATTATCCAGCAGATCACGCCAGATCAGATCTCTAATCCCCCCAAACCTGCTAAAAAGATACAGAATGCAGAAGCCCCAAACCTGGCGCCTAAACCCTAAACCCTTAAATCCCCTGCACCCTTTTCCCTTGAACCAGCCACCCTTCAGGATCCTAGAGGGTCTAAGGTTTGGGGTTTAATTAGGGTTTAGGGTATAGAATACAGAAGCCCTAAACCCTGGCGCCTAAACCCCAAACCCTCAAATCCCTAGAAGCCACCATGCACCTGCGCAAAGGCCTTGATGCCGGCGATGCTGCAGGAGCTCTGCAGACCATTGAGGCTCAGGGAGAAGGGATCGACTTGAATTTATTAGGGTTTAGGCGGGTTTAGGGTTTCGGGTTTGTGGGTTTAGGGTTTATGGGTTTA